ATATTATCCATACTATAAAATGTTCTCACGTATAAAACGAGTTATATAAATGATATTTAGCTTATCGTGAAGTTATAACAATGGACTATGTTGCGAGAAATATTGCATGTATAAATAATAGAGATAAAGTTACAAACATGTATCAATACATAGATTTGTATTAATATACTTCAGAGATCTGTCATTTTTATTTGTGTTTAAATACTGCGAGGTCATAAAAAAAAAACAAGCGAAAATTGCGATAATATCCATAGGTATTGTAAAATGCCCTCACGTATAAATGAAGTTATATAAATGATATTTAGCTTATCATGAAATTTTAACAATAGACTGCAATGTTGCAAGAAATACTGCATGTATAAATAATAGAGATAAAGTTACAGATCAATGCATTAAATGCACAATTTAAAAAAAATGGTAAAAAATATTACGATCGTAATATAATTTATAAATCATTATTATAAAGGTAAAAGTTTGTATGTAAGCGTTGCACGATGAAGGCCACCGTTTATTTTCTTTCCCTTTAGAAACAAGTACCTACTAATGTAAAGTGCGATTCTCTCTTTTTCCCATTAACATCTTTTTTTTCCCTGGTTGACGTTGATGCAACGAAACGGGCGACGTCAATAACCGGAAGAGCGTCATTTCGCTCTGATCGATCGCCCTTTCAGCGACGTTACCGTAATCATCTATCCTCGGATAGATCGCATCGGAAATCGCATGCGCAATCGGCGGCATGTAGTATATTATCACTCACCGGGAATTTCAAGCGCTATCTTTAGGAGTTGCCAACAATATATCACACGATCGTCTTACACCACCTATCATTATCCGCAATGCCAGGAGTGATTTATCTCCGGTCTTTAGAGACTACCGCGTTTCGGGCTGAAATTTTTCCGCAGGTAATCATTACGGTCCGCGAATGAAAGTCAGGGACACTCGTCACACGCGAAGCGTTTAAGAACTTCACGAAGATTGATCTCCGATTTTAAACAGCAAATTCCGGTTGTCGGTACTCGACCCACCACACGCTGAGCATATATGCAGAGTCCCACGATCTCTCGATCTTAACGATAATTCTCAATTTTTGTCTTAATTAAGTTGTTAGCAGCGCTAACAGTTTTCAAATTGTAAATGTTGGAAACTATAACAAATGTTTTCTTCGAATTTTTCTTACAAGATTAAAATTTGATTTTAAATTTATCGGGACTTTTTTTTGGAATACCCTATATAGGGTTGAGATGTATATAATAATTAGTGCGAGAAATTAAGACGTGCACGATTATATGAGACGTGGCAAGTTGAAGGCATCTCTTGATTGATGGCATTTTGATCATAATAATATATTTTACAAGAGAATGCCTAATTTTAATTTTATAAGTTGCGTTATGGATGATGTTATGCGGCAGTTTCTCCGTTTAATGGAACAAGGTAACGGCACTCCTATGGTCATTATAATCGGTAGCTGCTAATAATATCCAGAGAATAAAAAAAGTGGCAGAAACAAGTAATATTTTGAAAAATTTAAATCATTCATCACAAGAATATATTCTGGTAATTACGGGACAATATTTTCTTAATGAAAATTTGAACATTCTTGATAATTTTAGTAAAACAATATTAATTTGATAGTTTTGTGATAATATAGATTTCATCTCTTTAGCAAATATATTTATTGAATCAGAAAAATGAACGACTGAAGATGTTAACAATGAAAAGATTAATCAAATCAATAATCTTTTATTTATTTAAATAGATGTCGATAATTATTAGGTTAATTGTCATTCATTTATCAATATTTAATACATATTTATCATCACGATAGACAGGCATCGTTATATGGAAGCGTTCTTCTCCTTTGCATCATCAGCATGATTATAAAAGACGAAGCGGATAAAAACATGTAAACGCGTGATAATCGTCTTAATATAAACGTTATTACCCAACGAAAAGCGAATAAACCCTGTTTAATTATTTGCCAACGTATCAATTATTGTTGCGTGTAAGACTCCATCTTGATCAGAGAACCGCCAAGTATTAATTATTGAAATTTTATTGCACAACCGACGTATGTAATATAAGGAGTTCCTTGTTTCTCGTGAATTAAAGTGGCATCTCGTGCGAAGTTGCGAAGTTAAACCCATCATGCTCTCATGAGCAATCGTATACAGGAAAAACTCTTCGCCACACATTCGCATATATACACGCTTTCAGGTATATAAGTGGGCATCTTATGGTAACCACGTGAAAGGCTTCACCACCAACTTCACCTTTAAATCGCTAAGGCGCGAAGGCGATTACTTGCGGAGCCATTAAAACTGTCATACCGAGGAATCTTTCGGCGATCAATCGCGGTGTTTACTGACTTCTTAAACGGGACGACATTATCCACGGATCCGAAGTTCAATGTGCCGATTTTAACGCACTATTTTCGGTACTTTCACTTCCTTGTATTCGCGACTGTCAGTCAACGCGAAATTGAAATGATTATTCGCACGTCTTATAAAATTGCGATAACGAAGATCGACATATTTGACGATACGCGACATTCGAGGCAACACAGCTTTCTCCATACGTTTATAAATCTATGGTTCGAATCTTCACATTTTTTCTATATATATTTCAAGAGAAATAAATATTTTATATATAAATATGCAGCTTAATGTACAATGGTGGATCATGTCAAGAAACATCACGAGACAGAGGTTAATCGTACAAATCTAAATTTTACCTTACTATAAAAGTTATTAATCTGCTGTCAAATTACATTACTAACTATGATTTATCATTATGGTTATACCTTTGCGCACGCTGGCATTAAGATTGCGCGATAATTCTATGCTAGAAGTTGGTTATCAAAGTTAAGCAAAGTTGATCATTTAAGAACTTACAACACATTTTCTATGTGTATACAAAGATATTTATCGTTGATAATAATTTGTCGATACGTATTTTACATATTATTACTGCTTCGTGTAGCAACAATTATAAAAAGCTTATAAAATATTAACACTTCCATCATGCGATGACTTCTATACCTTTCTCTTTCCTACAAGGAATCTACACGCAAGTAAAATTTTAATCTAATCAATTTTTCATTTTAAAAGCATTTTTTTCAAAAATAAAAATATTTTCTTCATTTTTAATGTTATATAATTATCTTTCGTTTAATTCAACATTAAGACATTGTATTTCCTTAATTAATGATTACTTTTCCTCATTTTTGATGAAATAAATTATATATCAATTTCTACAAAAAATAATTATTAAAACTAAAAAGAAAGAGAAGAAAACAAAATTTCTCACTGAAAAAAGATGAAGAACGAAATCATTTTCGATTCGCAACGTTTATCGAAAGATGTTGCGCTAATCTTCCCTCATCTCGTACACGAGAAGCGTGAAGTTTCCTAAGGTAACTCATAGTATCGTTAGATACCGCGAAAGCGTCGATTCCAAGGATATAATTAACGACACAAGCCCGAGTCGGTAGCAAGGGTTAATTTTTGCGCTCGCGCTCGCCGACTGGAAACACGGTTAATGGAATCTTTCCGACGCTGTTCTATGGTTATATAGCGGAATCATCGACGTAGCTACCACGTGCTACATAGAACGTTGAGAGACGTCGGCATCGTCACATCTCGGAATTACGTCTGGATTTTTCCTGAAACCCGTTTCGCACATATCGCGACCCCATCGGCTTATATCTTACGAAGATGCTGTCTACAAGTTAATCCACTCGGCCTCATTTGCCGATTGATATTTTTGTCGGCACGAATCCTAAGATCGAGAAATGAAGATTTACGAAAGACAGGCAATACGCGACCATCATTTAGCTCAAAGAGATTGATGAATTGCTCTCGTAACAGTAATTACTGCGCGAAAATTTTATCAAATCATTCGTAGTGATGGCATCTCGAGAGAAATTCTCCAGAAAAAACTTGGTCAGAAATTCTATTGTTTAAAAATTGAAATAATTCATCTATAAAAATAAAACGATAACATATTGATAATCCTCTAGTTAGATTTTTTTTTTTAATCCTAATGGTATTGATTAATATTCTTAGTGCAAATTAAATAGAATAGCTGTATTTTTCGGGTTGAGAAATTTAACTTCTTTCAATAGCAATAACTTGTTCTTTTAATAGCTAGAATGTGAACATTCATAGATAATAAAGTTATTAGATTTATTAGATAAAGTTATTAAAGTTACGGAACTAAATCTAACAATAAGAGGAAAGCGTAGATAAACATCAGTGATTGTAGAAATGCATTTGAATCATGTCAAGTCTTCACAATAGAAATAATAATTATGCGAGAAGGGCAACTGACGATGCAGATTTCCTAAAGCGCGAAAGAATACACATTAATGGCTGCGTTTTATTGTAGCCGTAGATCTGAGCATCTACGTGTGTGTGATTTGTTGCCGAGTGTCAGAATAGAATACAGACTCCGAAACAGGTATAACCGTGCGTAGGCGCGGGCACGTCAGCTGTTCTCTCTCTTTTTTTTCTTTCTCTCTTGCCACGTGAGAACTCTGCGCAATATTATTTAAGACCTGTTTGTCACAATATGACAATAAAATGCATTTGAAAAAAAGAAAAGCGTAATTCCGCCTATAATTTAATTATGATTTAAAAAAAGAAATATTATTAAAGCCATTGATGTACGCACATGCATCTGTAATGCAAGACATTATTGTGTATATTGTGATTGAAATATAGTACATTATGTAACTTTATCTCCGTGCGAGATGTACTTGAGATTGATGTTTATATTTTCGATAAATTCAATGTTGTAAATAACGTAATGTTATACTTTGCAAATATAAAATTATATCGAAAATAATTTATATTAATATTTGATGCTTTCAGAAATTTTTTCTGTGCGTCTATAGCATAAAAAATGTAAGAATACCATTATTTCCTCGATTACAATTATTAATTACGTAATTCGAAATATAGATTCAACATTGCTGAGACGAGAAGTTACTATAGACTCACGTCGTCTCTATCGTCATCGTCAGGACTCTCCTCGAGGACGAATCCGACCTCGTTGTTGTTCCTGGTGAGTGACGGCAGCTTCCTCGGCGTCAGTTCCTCACCATCGGTATCTCTCTTCCGTTTCCGATGCGCGTCGAGCGCGGTCTCGTGCTCATCCAGCATGTCGGTGATCATCAGTTCCGATTTGACACTTGCCGGGGATACGACTTCGTCGAGCGGTGACATGGTCCGGTCGGTGTCAGCGGCCTCCAGGACGGACATGGTGGACATCGGGGTCCGCTGATGTCGCCGCTATTTCATTTACCGGAATTCGCGCAGATCCGGTGAGATAATCGCCGATAGAGAGCAAAGCGAGCGCGAATCAAGCGTACGCATAGAGCTTCCTTTCACCGTTTAATCTCGTGCGAGTTCGCGAGTTCAATTATTGAGAGTTTCCAATGATATTGACTAATTAATCCTGTATTGTTTGGCTTTAATAAAGTCGTAGCATTATCGTGGCGAGACCCGGAAATGGAGCTTGTACCAGTTTGCTATTGCTATTTCCGAGAACAATGGCGCGGTCTCGATAATGAGAAATACGAGTGCCTCGTATACGATGAAATTTCAATTCGATTGGTATATCTCTGTACGATTGTCGTTATGCTCGACGACCGATGCGAATATCATCTGGTAATGATCGTTTGATGGGAGAGGAATGCGCCGGGGACTCGCTTTCGCCATGAAACTTTGGCCAATTACGACTGCCGGTAATGTCCACGTGTATATACATATATTTGTTAAGTTACTTTTCCTCGGCAGTAATCTCTTTTGATTATTCCCCTTGATAGTGTAATGATCGTCCATTAACCGGATAAACTTCATTTATTTAAAAGAAATATAAACATATGGTTGCACAGGTTAAACCACAAAATTGTATATATTTAGCGAAATGTCTCGTATATAAGTTGGAGATAGATTTTTACTTTGACTCCGTTTAATTTTCGCATATGATACAAGCATTAAGCTTGCTACCAATCGCGGTAATGCGCTTCATTGCGCATCATTACCATTTGATTACATCTAATTTCAAGCGCGTACAAATATATGATTTTCTCAAAATACTGGCTTTAGAGTTCCAATAAGAAACACAATTATTATTGCGCTCTGAAAAAACATATGACGCGCTCTTTAAAATTTTGCAGAGGAGTAATTGTAATTATACTATCGTACATTATTAATAAATGACATATCCGTCGAAGTATTCAAAGTAACGAGCTGCAATGGCACCGCTATAATTGTATGCAAATTTACTGTCAGATGTAACTTTCACTCTACTTCTGAAGAGTCATCGAGGAAACGGTGCTGTTCTCGGCGCGCGCGTTATATCCCACTCAATTAAGAGAGCTTAAAACACGTCTGCGGTATTTGCGAACAGCTGTCAGCGCGCTGTCTGGCAGCGGAGCTTCGATATCTCGATCGTGCAACGAGGAATCACGCAGTCGCTTTAATAAGCTTTCAGTAATACCGCACGAGCGAGACGGACTCATGCTTCGCAGGTAATCGGCGATACACGAGCGATAACCGAATAATTTGCGGAATATTTAGCGGAATTTCGAAAGTCCAACAGACGCTGCAAGATTTCTCATCTCGCGATATTCGTGAAATTTCGTCGCGTTTAAAAACTCGCGGGAAGAACAGTTCAATGCCTCCCCGATTCTTGCGTCACGATCGCCTGCGGACCGTGTCTCGTATTCATGCGATGCGTCAGCTTTCGAATGAGTTTTCGACGCTTCGAGTTTCGAGGAGGCGATCGAGAGAGGGTCGACCTCGCGCTCGTGCGCGCATTCAACTCTCCGACTCCGCGCGGGATACGCAACGCGCTGTATAGAGGGAATCCTTCCTTATTTGTTTCTCTCTTTCTCCCAGGTGCACTTAGCTAAAGTTGCTCCGACTTGGGCGGGGACGTCGATGCGTAATTAAGCGGCATATCTCGTCACGCGCGCGGATTTTCCTTGTAGTCGAACGCGGACCGACAACGCGTCGTTCGCGATTCGTTCCGCAGACCGCAAACTTTTCCTCCAGCCGTCGACAGGATGATTAATGAATTTAACAGGTTTGGAAAAAAATCAGAGTGATGAAGCGATCCGTGATACTCTCCTGGTTTCTCTCTGGGATTTTCTTCGATCGGTCAGCATCCGGAGATCCAATGGCGTACGCTGTCGAACGACGCAGAAACTATACGGGGCCACCACCGAAAGTCACGTGGCCATAGGCTAGTTCCTTGGTGGCGAACCGGTGCCAGCTACCGTTCTCACAATCGACAGCACGCTTGGCCGCTCGACCCGGCTAGATTTCACTCGCGGAATCGTGACGCAGATACCGGACAGTAGCGAGATACCGCCGATCGATCGACGCGCACGACGTATAGACATACTCTGATATCCTCTCTCAGCTTGCAAAGCCGATGTTATTCAATATCCTCAGGTATATATAAATCACGACGATTTTTTTCTCGCTGCAAAATCGATCTCTTGTCCGACGATCACGATTCGAATACTCAAAATCTTCACTGTCAGCGCGCATTACACATGGATCTCATCATTTCCGCTTACATAATCGCGTTCCAAAGCGACACTGCTGACGGAAGTCAATCTTTCTCGATTAGTAGCGTTTCGAAATGTTGACGTCCCGCGATCAATCAATCGTAGACCACGTGGTCGTGCACTGTGTCACGTGGGGGGGCGAAAAGGAGACGTCGTCGTTGATTAACCGTGGATCCGATCGACGGCTTCAAGAGAGAGGGAACGAGGTTCCACGCGGGAACCACGACGCGAGGTCACTTTCGGGAAAGTCGCTCGGTGAAAAATCGCGGTATGCACTTTTTTTTGAAACCTCCGCGTATTGATCGAAGGTCGGCGAGGATCCCGATCGAACGACACCGCGTTGGCGCGCGCGCCTCTCGAGAATGGCCTAGAGGCGAAAAGAGGAAAGGATCTCCTCGAGTGGCGCCGCCCGCGGCAGGAGGGGGCAGGTTTGTCTCTCTCCTTCCCTCTTTCTTTTGCTTAGCCGTCCGTCCATCTCTTTTCCTCGCTCCATGCTGCGTGGAACAAGTGTTGGAGCCGCGCTCCGTGGCACGATATATGCGCGCTGGACCACCACCATCCCATCGGCGACCATCACCATCACACACTTACCGTGCTCTCGCGTCGTTGGTACCACGTGGTGCGTCCACCGTCACCAACACCATCAACGACGCCAGCTGTCACGTTCTCCGTCTCGTTCCTGCGCGATCTCGATTCCGTCGATGCTGCCTTCCGACAAGCTTCGTCTCTCCTTTCCTCTTTTCTCTGTCTTGCCTGTGCCCCTCTTTCGTGTCGTTTCCTCCACGAGCGTTCCTCCTCTTCGATCCTCATCATCGTCTCTCTGTTCGTCTCAGAAGTTGTTGCTGCTAGATCACTCGGTGTTTCTCTTTCCTTCCAGGAGCGCACGGTATGTCCTGCGGATCGACAAGGATCGCCGCACAAGGATATAAGAGTCGAATGTTTTCCTTTCGGTTTGGATGTTTCCTCTTGTACGTCTCGTTTGTTCATCTCTTCTTTTTGGTTGCCGGATATCTTTGACGCGAGGACGTGCTTGTCGCGACTAAACTTGAATGTGTTTATTTCGGATTGCTTTCGCATTCTTGTAGTCGCCACTACCTTCATGGATGACGGCCAAGTTACGTCATGTCAGGGCCAAGACATGATCAGATTTTAAATTTCGAACGCAATCTATTTTTTAAATAATTTAATATTATTATACCATGTAGTGGCAATTTGATAAAACTCGTTCAGAGTCAATTAATTTGTTTCTGTTTAGCATCGTAAATATTGAAGTTATTCTTTCCTTTTTGTATTAAATTTGAATAAATAAATATTGATAATGCCTATAACTTTCCTTATTTCTTTCCTAGTCTGATTAACGTCGAGATATCTTCATTTTCATTTAATTGTCAGATTACGGCGGTATCTCCGCAACAGGTATCGGAGCTTCTTGTCTTTTCTCAATCGCAGATCGTTACTAACGACGTACGATCTGTCGACTCTCGCGCAGTCCACACAGATCCGACCTAACACCAGATCACTTTGAACCGGTCTCTCTCCTTCTCTCTCTTTTTCTCTCGTTATCTTCGTTACTTGTTTTCCCAATTAGCTTCGCGCGTATATACGCACGCACGCTTCCCGATGTTGCGCGAGCGAGAACCAAACTCGGATCTAATACCAGTGGCGTCGCAGCAAAATACAATTCGATAATCGATTTATTTATAATTGATTGTTAAAAAGCTTCCGAAGCGACGAGTTGAATAAAAATAAAATTTTGAAAAAGGCATTGAAAAATCTACTGGTTTTAAAATACATTTATGTTTACGGACGCGCATGAACAAATATAAATGTTAAATAAATTCTTTATTATAAAATTTGAAATAATAAATTTAGGATTATTCGTATCCTGCTGCACAAATTAAAAAAAAAAAACGCGCATGAAATACGATACGTATATGCTATAATATATTGTCAGATTATTAAAAATTAAAAAGGCACAGGTAAAAAGTATTGAATATGTATTAATATAATTAATACCTATAAAATAGTCATAAATTATGTTTAATTAGTCATATATTTTCGATGTCAACAAAACTGGGACACCATCCACTCTCCAAGTTCAAAGTGCAATCAATAAAATGCAATAACGTTAGTTTTGCGCGTATGGCTTATGCACGACTTCTGCATAATGAAAAGTCGTCCTTTCATATACTCTCCGTGGCAACTAATTATTCATATACGAGAATTAATAATATAAAAATAATTAATTTCAATTACCGGGCCATTAATGCCGCAATTAAATCGATAAAACTCGACCGCGCTGGTTACGTCGTTACATTGAAACGTACCAATTTGATCGCAAGCAAATATCAACGGGATTAATCCGTACGAATGTGAACGTGAACGTTCCTTCATCCATTACCCGAAATGCGAACAGCGACGAAGGCGAAATGAGACGCTCATTAAGAAAGAATGCAGTGCCGCGCAGCAATAAGCGACGATATATAATTTCAACTGCAATAAAATCTCGTCTAAGCGGCGAGTGTTCTTCCGCATAGCCTGTGTGCTGAATTCGCCTGCAAAAAGCAAGGAGAGAGAGAGAGAGAGAGAGAGAGCGCGATGCTAACGGGGTTTTAAAACGCGGTTCGCCCCGGATTACAGATTGGATAATCGATCGTTTAAAATACACGATCGATACGATATTAATACTATGTATGCGGTTTCATTGGAATTTCATTAGTATAGATTAATTCACATGTATACTGAAACGCTCTATCAAATTACGAGGCCGAATGCATATGCTTTCACAAATGTGTGTGTGTGATTTCTCTTTCCTCTAGATTAGGTTTAATTTTAATATTTTTTTCTGTATAATTCAATCTTTTATATCGCTTATTATACAAGTATCGCACAGATGATTCCTCTCTATAATAACGATAAAAAATTCGATTTATACCTCATCTTAATTCTTAAATTTTATATTTTGTTCAATTCTTTGTTATCACAACAGGTTTTAAAAAATTGTGTATGCAATTTAATTTTTATATACATATAAAAGGCAATAAGAGCTAATTAAGTTCTGTTATTAATATTTATTTGTGGAAAAAAAATTTTAACATAAAATATTAGACAAAAAAGTTCGAACGTTTCGGTTGCCTTTTTCAACCTTCTTCAGCGCATCATTTAAAAATAAAGATTAATAGAAATTAACAATAAATTATTCATAACTGTCAATATACTAAAACTATACAGAAACAGAGTTATTCGCATAAAACTACGTCAAGATATTATTTTTATAAAAAACGAATTCATACGCTATTGTTACCTCGAGCTATCAACATCTGTTAAGCCTCCACGTCACAATATAACATCTTACTCGATTTAACTACATATTAACAATTGCTGTTATCGAGATTCGCAACCGACCTCCTTCGAACGGAACAATTAGCGAGATATCTGTTACGCGACAATTACATTAAATGACGATTCGAGGAATAGAATACATAAAAATGCTCATGCTTTTAAAAAATGCGTTGATTTCGTTTTTTATAAAAATAATATCTTGACGTAGTTTTATGCGAATAACTCTGTTTCTGTATAGTTTTAGTATATTGACAGTTATGAATAATTTATTGTTAATTTCTTCTGAAGAAGGTTGAAAAAGGCAACCGAAACGTTCGAACTTTTTTGTCTAATATTTTTTTTATCTAATATTTTATGTTAAAATTTTTTTTCCATAAATAAATATTAATAACAGAACTTAATTAGCTCTTATTGCCTTTTATATGTATATTAATTTTTTAAAGAGCTGTTACAAATTTTATTAATTTTTATATACCTACATATCTGTGATATTTACATGTCTAAAAACGGAATTAAGAGTACTTTAAGTAGACGAATTGTAGAAAGATAATAACAGTCTACAAAAGTAGATCCGTGTCGATAGACTTGTTTAATCGCTGATTCATCTCGATTGTACTCGCGCCGACAAAGATGTCGCGGGAATTTTTCACGCGCACAAAACCGAATTTGTTGCGGTGATTAATACCCTTTAACGAAAGAAAATATTCGGGTCAGGTGAGCAGCGACTGGCAATGGCGAGGCCCGATGATTCCGACGATTCACGAGGCTGGCCCCCTCGGCATACCAAGACAGATCATTTCTTTTCTTTCGTCTCCCCTCTCCTCCCTCTCTGTCTCCCTTCTGTTCCCCTTTGCTTTATGTGCACCTGTCCAGACTGGATGGATGATATTCCGATCTTGGTTCTTGCGAGCAAACCTGGCGCCTCTTTTTCAAGTCGAACGCGCGAAAGGCTTTTAACGGATATCATTTTTCCTTATCCAAAAAAAAAAACATAATGCTTTCTTTAATCACTGAGATGTAAAATATTCCCGAGAAAAGTATGTATGCTTCAATTAATAAAAGTGGAACAGATTGAGGAAATAATTAAGGATAATAGCTCGTTTCATTTTAAACGTGTACTTTTAAATTAGTAAAATTATATAGTATCTCTCAATTAAAAAAACAATATTTAAAAATTTAATTAAAAATTTAAGAAAAAATATAGATTATACTTAGATTTATTTATATATGTTATGTGTTGTGACATCAACTAGAATTCAACCTGGCACTATAATTGGGTGATGCGAGACAGGTAGGAAATTTTGAAGACCATCAAAATGTATGCTGTCATTAAAAGAAAGCTACCGATGGCTATTTATAAAGTGTTTGCAGACACATTTGAAAAGGCACAAGTTTGACGAGTTCTATGGCGTGATTTGTAATCTTCTCTCCATTCACCGATTTCTTTTGGAGAAGCCAAATCCTTATCGCCGTATATACGCTAAGAATTCTTTCTTGCCGCCACCCACGTGCATGTTCATCCGATCGCTGTGAGAGCAACGCGTCGACCACGTGCGAAAAAATCTACACGATGGATCGGGAGGAAAAGCGTCGCGTCGAGTTATCCAGAGCGCGAGGGAGAAAAAGGAAAAAGAGAGAGAGAGAGAAAGGGTGAGAGAGGGTGCTGAGAGGAAGATACATTTTTCAGATTATAACGGACTGCCGTTCGTCGAGCGATAATGCGAGCGAGTGTATACCTAGATGGCACCGGGTGAGCGACAGAGAGCGTCGGCATTCCCGAGAGAAATCTCGGAGCATATTTTCACGTCTATTCTGAGGGCGCGTCTCTGCCGGATGCAGATAGCGGCGGCCGTGTCGCGGGATGTGTGGCCACGTATGGGTGGCGCACAATATCCCCCTGATGGTAAAGGCCATCCAACCTGCGCGATACGATGTAATACTCGTCGGGATAATATATTGCTGTACAAATGGCACTAACCCCTGCATCTCTTCCTCCTTCCA